TTTTTAGTGACTGAACAAGAGCTGCAGCTAAATCATAATGAAGATATACATAGCATTAAGGTAAAAAACGATATATGCAGTGTTATCTTCATTTTAGATGTCAAAAGGGTTTTGCGGCTCCCGGTGTTTTCTTTTGTGTGGGAAATGGGTCCAAATGGCTCTTTGAGTGTTAAAGGCTGCCGACCCCTGTCCAAGATCATGCTTGCAATCTGGGAAAGCAGCCAGTGCCCCTCTACCCAAGTGTATTTTTCCTAGCCAGAATTGTTTCTGAAGCTGGAGTCCAGCAGGCAGAAAAAAGCCGTAAGTCATGTGAGAGGCCTGAGCTGATCACGGGATGGTGGAGCTTCTGTGCCATCACTGTGCACCCCTTTCACTTAAACATGACCAAACCCTGCTCTCCTTCTACAGAACTGGGCAATTCCTTGTTTAAACAGAGCTCCTATCCCTGAAAAGCTCATTGCCACCACCTGGAATTGCACCTGTTCTCCACCACTACCTGGTCCTCCTTGACTTCATCTCCGCTGCTTCCCCATTTGCCAACCTCTCACCTGCTCAGACAAAGTAGAGCCAAAGCGTGAGAAGAGGAGTGTGTTAGTTACACTGCTGCCACGTGGCGCAACAGTGTTCTGATTTTGTAATAACACAAAAGAGGAGCTGCAACACCCTCATTGTAGTCATTACTCACCATTATCTGACTGTAAATGTTGGCCTTTGCAACCGTGAGCACCGTTTTCTCATCTAAGCAAACGATTTTGGGCTTGGGCTTGATGGTAGGCTCCATGCTTAAAACTTCGTCGTCACGTTGCAGGTCGCGGGACAGCACAAACCCTGCCGCGTTTCTCCTCCCCTCCTCCCCAATCACATTGCTGAGCGAGGAGAAGAGGGCTTCCTGCTTTACCTACACAAAAACCACGGATGGTTTTGCCCAACAGCTCATTAAGACAGAATGAGAGACAACAGTCGAAAGCGTATTCCCATTCAACACTTAGCAAAACTAAACCTGGGAAGCCCTTGGCAAGTGAGCCCAGGCTAAGGCAGGGCTGTGCCCCCAAAAGGGGCTCGAAGCACTGTGATGCCTCTTGCTCTCTCGCTGAGTGCACACATGTCTGTGACGGAGCGTAAATTCTGTGCTGTTATGCTACAGCTGCTGCATATTCTTTCACCGTTTCCTCCTCCTCCTTTCCTTTCCTTTCCTCTCTCCAGTTGTTGGGGAATGAAGAATAGGGAATGGAGGAAAGGCAGAACAGTTCACATCTTCATGTGCACTTATTTGATTCTGTGGTTTTGAACCACTGTGCAGGAGGGGCAACCATTTCGGGCCTGCTGCACCTCTGCCAGTTGGAGCAGCTAGCAGGGGTGGGGTCTGAGCCCCAACACACTTAATAATTCATTTGATACCACCATTCAAAGTCCCCTGCATGTGTTCTCTCTCCATTTCTTAGTGGCTCAGCCTACATGCATTCACCACCTTCATTTCTTTACAGGGTCTCTGAGCCCCAGGAGTGCCTCAGAGACGCTCATGAGAAATGAAAATGGCAGCAGCTAGAAACCTTCACTGCCCAGGAATATGGAAGCTGGAGTCCCAACACATCTGCAGGACCTCTGGTTGGAGAAGGAGCATCCACTTTCAACCAAGTAACCTTGGCCTTTGCCAGAACAGCTTTTATACGGTGCTCATGACTTGCTCCTTTACGTTCTGCACTATCTCCATGGAGTTAGAAATGCCCTACAAATCAAAGGTTTACATCAGACCACCACTAACCATGTAGTGACCAATCACTAGAAAACTATCCAGATGTGTGGTTTTGCTTGCTTGCTTGCTTGCTTTTTTATTTATTTAGAAAGCTTCTATGCTGCCCCATTCGCCGAAGCCTCGGGGCGGCTCACAACAATAAATAACATAATAACAATAAATGCTTCTGTTTTTAATTTCATGGACCAGAGTTTGCATTTTAAAAAGCTAGGGATACACTGAGAAAAGAAATAAAGCATACAAACAATGTTGTTTCCGATTATCATGCCGAAGCAATAGTTCATGGGTGGGCAATTTGTAGCCCCCAGACATTTGGGCCTACAGCTCCCCACTTCCCACATCATTAGCTATGCTGGCTCGTGCTGATGGGAGAGGGAGGCCAGAACATCTGGGAGTCCAGAAGTCCAGTTAGATCCCTGGAATAACTGATGGGGATAAGAAAGTAGCGTCATTCCCTTTTCCTCCAGGCCAGGGTGGGCAACATGTAGTCTCCAAACCCGAAACAAACCTGAAGTTAGATCCTACCCTAGAATGTGTATTTATGAACTCCAGGCATCTCCAGTCCAGCAGATGTGTGGGTTTTTAAAGCATGACCACACGACCCGGAAACCCGTGATCCAGGTGACAGCAAGAGAGGTGATCACAGTGCGAGCAACACTGCTTTGGCCGCATCACCTTCAGCACGCTGAATAAGCTACGGGACGACTGCTGCCTTGGGAATCAGCAACATTCCCGTCTTCCCTGGAAAAGGTGGGCGTAATTTTCTCCAGCAGGAAGCCAGCCGCCCCTGCTCCCCGCCTGCTATGAGCGGCTGCCATGCCGCCCCTGCTGGACTTGGCCGAAGCAGCAGAGCAGCCTGCAAGCCAGGCCACGGCTGGGACAGGGGAGAAGCACTTTGCCCAGCATGCGCTGCCAGCCGACAGGAAGGTCGTACCGGTGTGATGAGCTCGAACTCAGCAACGTACTCCGGCAAAACCAGTTCGTGGTCGAAGACAAACCACTCGCGCTGGCGCAGGCGGCAGCTGCAGTTCTTGCACTTCAGCGGAGAACAGGCTTCTGAAGCTGCGGAGGAAGGCAGAGAGCTTGATTCCCGGATGGCGTTCGCCCTGCTGCGGACGGCACGGCACGCGGTGCAGCAGGGCCAGGCAACGGCCAGGCTTCCTCGTTCTACCGGTTCTTTTGCTAGAGCGCTGAGGCCCACTGGGGAAACAGCCCGGCCCTGGCCCTCCTCTAAGTCCAGGGCTGGGCACCAGGAGGCCTCTGTGGGGAGCAGGCCTGTCCCTCCAGCAGACCCAGATGGAACTTCAGAAGAACAGACCCTTTAGTAAACCACCACAGCTTACAGAACAGTGTAAATGAAGTCATGCTCTCCAGGAGATGTGGGAGAAGCATCTGCCCATGGGAAGAGTGCAATACACACTGAAACATCCTTTCCCTCCATCCCTTTCAGAAAAGCTTCTGACCCTCCCCCCTCAGGGAGGCTCCTGCTGCTTGAGGGCTTGAAGATGGAAACTCCCTTCACCCGTCCACCCTTTGATATGTCATCTCTCAACAGGGTGACGGAACTGCCTTTCACTCGCCTGCCGCCCCAGCTCTGAAATGTCTCCCCCTTTTCCAGACCGGGCTGGTTCTCATGCTCTGTCTGAGACTCTTCATTAGGCGTCCTTGAAACGGCCAAGTCCTCTCCCCAACTCTGCCTCATTCTCAGATTTGGGTGTCTCTATCTGAATAAACCATAAGGTGGAAGAGCTAAGCCCCTTGTCTGGAGCCCTCACTGCCCCAGATTTGAGCCTACCCCAAAAATGTTTTGGCAAACAAAATGGCATCTAGAGGAGCAAAGCAGGGCCAAAAGGGTCAAAATTAACTTTGACCCTCTGCAGCCTCCATGGCAGTTATAGATGCCATTCTGGGTGATTTATTTATCTGTCTCCCCCTGGTGGTGGTCAAAAACAGGCACCTGGTCTCTCAAGACACTGCCCACCTCTGCCCGAAGCATTCTCCGTGTTTGCAGCTTAGCCTAAAGGAAAACTGCCACCTTTGAGCTGTTGCTACTCTTAAGCATCAAGGGGCCAGCATCTCTTGATTATCTACTGCAAATCACCACAAAAATCACCCAGAACGTAAGAGGAACCTGCTGCATCCAGACCAACCCAAGGCCCTCTGTGATCCGAAGCAGCGTGCCAAATCCCTGCCCGCCCCCGCTTCCCAGCCATGCGAGGGCCAATACTTTCACCAGTACTGTGGCAGAACCGAGTGTCAACCCCTGCCTTCATCTCTCCCCCTAAATCCTGCCAAACAGTGGGGGCAGCCCCAGAGCCACCCATTTTGATAATAGCGAGTCCTGACTGGACAGATCATACTGCTGACATACTCTAGCCTGCGACAAAAATGTTGCCCCAGTCACATTATCCCTAGTATTTGTATTAAGTTCCTTTCCTTCCACTTGCCGGAGCATCAGGTCGGAACCTGACCTCATGCACGTAAACCTGGGAACTAGCTCCAGGTGTGTGATTCGAGCTCCCTCTAGTGGCTACTTGGGGTGGGGCGGAAGCGATCTTTTGCGTGCTTAAGAAAATGCCTCCACTTTAAAGTGCCCAGGCAATTTAACTTGCAGCGATACTTTTGTGATAATGAGACTTTAACAACCAAATGCAGAAGAGGGTAAGGAGAGGAAGAATTACCTGTTACTCCCAGAACAGAGAAACTATAGGAGGGTTGCATGTAAAACACACTGAACCACACAAATCTGTATGAAAGACTCCAAAATCCAAAGCTAGGGAGCTTTACCAGGTGTAACCAGGTATGCTCAAAATTGTGGGCAAACTTTTGAAATGCCCAATTGTCTTAATTAGGCAAAATAAAAAGCAGGGGGAGGAGAGAAAAGGAGCAAAACCTCCTTGATTTTTAAGTCATAAAGACTGCATGGCCAGGGTCTTAAGAGGGAATGGAAGATGAGTTACAGACAAAACATAAACTCTGCTCAGTGTCTTGCAGGTTTCAGATTACACCTACAGCTCCAAGAACAAACACAGTGACTGATTCTCTCTTTCTGAAAATACAAAATCCAGATCTGCCTTCAATGGATGTATCTATTTTAATTCCTATAACCATCTGAAGAATTTACAAATGGCTCTGGATTGAATTAAGGTCCATGGTAAAGATGAAATGAAATAGGCCAAATGACTGGTTCTCCATTGAGCAGAGAAATCTGGGAAATCTCTGGGCCACATGCCACTGAAAATACGCTAGGCTTCCCACCCAGTTTATCAGCTTCTCACTCTGGATCCCCCCTCTCCCAGTTCTGACTTCTGATCAGTTGCTGACCAGAGACAAAAGCTTTTCCCTGCAGGGAGAGGGGAAGAAACTGTTGGATGATTCGACCTGCTTACTTTTGAGGCTTGTTCTGAAGAGGCCTGTACAGCCTACTTGTGAGTAGACAGGTTGCTCATGCTTGCTCCTGAGCAGACACGCAGAGGCTTGGTACTTGGACTGCTGTGTGGAAGGGCGACCATGTGATTCCATAGTCCTCATGTTTTGATTACCCCAGCAAAAGCCTTGTCCTGCTTACTTCTGAGTAGACTTCAAATCTGTAATAATTTCATTTCAGCCCTGCCTGCTCACCTTTGCTGTGGCCTGTATGCCCATCTCCTGTGAGACATTCCCCAAACTGGAATTTGGCCTTCTGGCTAAGAAAGCCTCCGTGTTTTGTTCGATGTACATGAAGACCAGGGGACTGATTTCACAGGCCTGGAGCGTTCTTCATGCCATCTGATCCTTTCTGTGCGCATGCCTGCGGTCCTTCACCCACGTCACACGAGGAGGACTGACAAGCACAAGAGGACAAGCACATGCTTCACTCTCATCATGCCTGCATGCTTGAACTCAGTGGGGGAATTTATGTGTCATGCTAAGCCACCCTGAGAATAAGCCACTACAGGTTGGTGGTTTCTTCTCTAACCCCATTACTCCCAAGAGATGATGGGGCATTCTGTGGCTTTCCAGGCCTCGTTCACCCAACAGGCCTCCTGCCTGTTCCCAGCATATATCTCAGGCAAATCTGCAGCAAAATGCCTTCTTTCTTCAGTCCTCAAATCTGCACCTTTTCTGCAATTGGTTGGTTGGGGTTGCTGGCTCCTGAAGAAACTCTTCCCCGCATCAAACGGCTAAATGGGGATAATTCTGAGCACTTCTGCATGAGGAAATACATTTACAACTACTTTGTAAATTCATTTTTCATGGTCTTCCGTGAGTACACAAGAGCGCCAGCCTCAGCGACCGCTGCTTAGCACACCATACACCCCTCTAGTCAATTTCATCTATACGTTTTGGTACTTCCCTTGCTGCAAAATTTTAAAATGTGCTGCTTCATATATTTCTACAATAATTACACCCCTCCCCGCCATAGCACCTTCTTGAGCTGTCACCAGCCACTTTCAGCACTCCGTCCCGCTTGTGCTTGTGGCTTCTCTTTCGTTAGCTGTGGTGGGATAGTCTGCTAGAAATTTACAAATCCCATGGCAAAGCAATAACGCTGGGAGGGGGGAATGCAAATTTCATAGCGGTGGGCTCTTGAAACTGCACAATTGTGCAAGGCTAAAATTAGGACTGAAAGAAAAGTTTGTGCAGGCACCCTGACACTCTCAGCTGCCACGTCTTCTCAAGCTCCAGTAGAAGTGGAGGGAACGGACAAGCAATGAGCGACAGCAGTAGCTGCACTGGCACATCTGCAACGAGAGTCAGGGTTTCATGCTGCCCCTGCTGTGCACGCCGATGCTCTTTCCAACAAGCCATGCCAAAGTCACTGTGCACTGACAAGCCACCCTAGGAACAAGCCAATTTCCAACATCACAACAAGCCACCCTGAAACAAACATGGGTGAAAGCTCATACTGGGTTGTCAAGTCATGTGAGCCTGGTTTGTGTGGGGCAAGGCCATGTGAAACCTTAACTTCATGCCAAGGAAAGCTGAGCTCCATGACTTGTACAAATGATGCCAGTTAAGACACTTTGAATACATTTTTAAAAGTCTGGCACACTGTAAGGAACTTCCGGGCAAGTTGTCTGCTGTGCAAACATCCTGTCTTATTCATGGAAGTCCGTGCAGGTGGGGGAGCAATCAGGAGAGGCACATTTATACCCTTTCCATATTCCCCCACCATTTCTTGGATTTTTCCTTCTTTCTGTCAAACATCCATCAAGCAAACAGATGGAATAATAACATAATGCAGGCTGACTGGGAGCACTAGCAGCCTTCCATCTGGAAGCACCCCGTTCTGGTGCCAGTCATGCAAAGCAGGAAAGGCCACAGAAACACTGAATCCCAGTCGCTGGAAAGAGACCTTCCGGAACCCAAACATCATCCACACATGTTCAAGGTGATCCTTGTACCTGGACGGGCTGTATAGTTGTGTGTGGGCAGGTGCAGGGTGCATTAAATGAAAGTTCAGACAGATGTTCTGGGAAAGTAATGCTCCTCTCCTATGATGTATATTCTTTTTCTAGCCACTTCTTCCAGACTTATGATATATAGCTAAGGTATGTCTGCACTAGCTCTCCTGGTCTATTTCTTGCTTCCGCCACTAATACTTCATAGGTTTAATGGATCACATCTATGCATGCAGGACACACCCAATGAAATACCTTCAGGGGCCCACCTGACAATTACTCATGTGCGGAAGGGCATGCAAGAAGAAAAATAACTACAACCATCCAGAGAGCTTTGACAATTGGGGGAATATATAGAAATGTAATTAAATAAATACCAAAACAAACAAATATTAGCTAACAATGCATTTTGGTTTCATTGCCTTAAATTCCCAGGATCAAATTCCCCCAATAAAGTAAGAAGGAAGGCTGGAGCGGCTAACTTACACTTTGGCTTTTCTGGCTGATCTGGCCCTTGAGAGGCATTCAGGGAGCATGTGCGTGGCCTGCAAACGGAATTGACCTCAGGATAGTTGCTTTGGATAAACGGATCCATCTCACCAGCTTGAGCGCTGTGTCCTAGGAAGACTTTGGCAATAATTAGTTTCCCTGAAAAAGGAAGAGACAAGAAGGTCTTATTTACCAACAGAACACACACACCAAAATCCCAGTGAAGCACCAATGGATGATTCCACGTAATTCAAGTAAACAAGCAAGTCAGACGCTAGGCATAGGTGGGCAGAACTCCAGATGTTCCAGGCTTTAGCAAGCAGAATTCCAGACCACTGGCCGTTCTAGCCAGGGCTTTTAGGAGATGCACCACAACAACTGGAGCTTACAACCTGCCTGCCTCCAGACTAAATAATTGCCTGCTCCCACATGAATCTTCCTATGAGTCAAGGTCAAGATGAGAAGCCATTCCTAGGTGCCACCCAGTTAGAGCTTAGGTAGGAGGGAAAGGGCCTTTTCTGTACCGAGACCTTGACTCATTGTCACACCATGCTTCAAACTATACTATTGCATCTTGGAATGTACAAAATGGCTGGCTGTTCGCTGCTTGGTGCCTTGTTGTTGTTGTTGTTGTTGTTGTTGTTGTTAGTCGCTAAGTCGTGTCTGAACCATTGTGACCCCATGGGCAACATTCCTCCAGACCTTCCTGTCCTCCACCATCCCCCGGAGTCCACTTATGCTCACGCCCACTGCCCCAGTGACTCCATCCAGCCACCTCATCCTCTGCCGTCCCCTTCTTCTTTTGCCATCAGCTTGGTGCCTTACACAAATGAATACACCAGAAACAAGACATGTTCCCAAACACTGCCCTGTCAACCTCAGGATGTTAACTTCTATAGTCCAGGAGCAAACACAAAATGGTGACTTCCCAAGGATAAGGCAGTTGAAATGCATCAGCCTGTATGTGCAACGTGTTACCCACCAGGCTGAGCACAGCATGGCCAGCCATACGTTACGCAGAAACACAGAAACAGAGCGAGTCAGAAGGGGTCTTCTGGGCCATCTAGTCTGACCTCCGGCACCAGCCGGCTGTGCTCATGACATGCCCACCATGTGGACATCCAGTCTATCCTTGAACACCTGCACCGATGGGGCCTCAACGACCTCTCGTGGAAGCCCATCCCATACCCTTGGGGTCCTGACTCAGGAAGTGCTTCCTGGCATCCAAATGGAACCTTGGCTCCCTGAGCTTTGCTCCGTTGCAGCGCATCCTGCCTTCCTCTGCAGGGGAGAACAGGTCTCTGCCCACCTTCGTGTGACACCCCCTCACATACCTGCATGTCGCCAACAGATCCCCTCTGAGTCTCCTCTTCTCCAGGCTGAAGAGACCCAGTTCCCTCAGTCTCGCCTCATACGGCATCCCCTGCAAACCGGCCACCAACCTTGTGGCCCTGCGCTGCACAGACTCTAACCTGGCTATATCCTTCCTGTAATGAGGGGCCCAAAACTGAGCACAATACGCCAGTTGCGGGCGCACCAGAGTCGTGTAGAGTGGTAGTAATACCTCTCTCGATCTAGAAGCCACACCTCTGGCTATGTTACGGTCTATCAACTCCCACCCTAGCTTTTGCATTTGTTGTTGCTTGGGGTTTTTTGACCATCCCAAGACAGGAAGCAAAAACAGGAGGTGTACCAACCCCCGAACAACTATCTATCTATCTATCTATCTATCTATCTATCTATCTATCTATCTATTTAAAGTTTTTCTATGCCGTTCCATTACTACAAGTCTCTGGACGGCTTACAAAGGACAAAAAACCAAGAACAAAAAATCATAACAACACACAACACACTGCATCCAATAAATAATGATAAAAAATGGTTAAAACCAATTAATTGTTAAAGTGCTGGGAAAATAAAAAGAGTCGAGCCATGGCGCCAAGCAAACCTCCCTGGGGATCGTATTCTATAGTCGGGGTGCCACTGCTGAAAAGGCCCTTCTCCGAGTAGCTACCCTCCTGATTTCCTTCAAAGAGGGCTCCCGGAGAAGGCTCTCTGCCCCTCCAACTATGGGGCTACACAGTTGTTTTCACTCTGCTTCCTTAGCCTGTCTTTCCTGGACTGTCCCTGGCCTTATCACGCCAGTCCTCCACAGATTTTGGCTTCAGCCACCACCAGCCCCGGAGATGGAACTCACCTGCTATTGAGTTTGGCTTGGGAATGGATCTCCCACTGCTACCAAACAGCAGGCAAACACCCCCACTGGGTTTCCTCCACTGATATCTACCTGTGTACCTGTCACCAATTTATATATGCCAAGCCTCAGTTGCTTTCACAGCTGATAAAGTTTTTGCTTGAAGCACAACATGACTTAAAACTATTGATGCTTTTCCTTACCATGCCTGAAAGGCTCTTCTGAGTCCCCTTTGCTTCTGGCTTGTCTTTGCAAATATTCAATTCTTGGGCATTCACAGATGCTAAGGCTGTTGGAGAGCTGAACAGCTCCTTTGCCTCCAGGTACCTAAAAAGAGCAAAAGAGCAAGTCTTGCTAAGATCCACCGCCCTACTAGGTTCTCTGCAAATGCCAAGTTCTATTATTACAGCCCTTCAAGTGAATCTCATGGATGTCTCTATTTACCTTGGCTTATAAATGGGTGAAGCTCTATTTGGGACCTCTGGGAATTTGGTACTAAGTGGTTTAAAATAGTTGTCAACTTTAATGTGATTATTGTTTCTTTCCCTTCTTTTACTGTGCTATGTGCTGTTCAATTTGGTTGTACATTGTCTTGTGAGAGTTTATCCTAAAAGGTAGTTGAAAATTATTTTCAATAAAATAAATACATAATTTGATAATATGCAAGTGATGGGTGCGTGAGAAGGAGAACTGAGAAGAGGGAGTTTGTATGGGCTCTGTGGCACAAGACAAAAGGGAAAGTATCAAAATGTTTATACTGGAGATTCCACTGGGATAGTGAACTTTCATTGTACAATTATGTGTGAACACACAAAGGCATATGTTGCTGGCCACAGAATTTAGCCACATATTTTTTCCCAATTTTAAAGGTGCAGGTTTCTAGCCCTCATGACCAAAGACATACCTGATGGGAGAGGGTTCAATGCACTTCATAGTTTCTTGGCTTTTTAAATCATAATAAATTATGGAAAGCAGTAACATTTTGTACTGAATGTGTATAATTTATGCAGGTCACAGAATTCAGCTTTTTTTAGCACAGTAGTTGAATCACCCAGGTGCTTAACTTTAACATTTTTAGTGCATAATACATGCAACACTGGATATTTTGTACACAGATAAAATAGCATAGTCTTCCTAGGATTGTACCAGTTCATAACGTACATGGGAGATTTTAAGATTCAAATGCCTCCCAATATTAAAAAACAAACAAATACTAATCCTCCATCTCCGGCCTTGTGGAGAGCTAGCAAAGGTGTTAGGAAAAATATTTATGTCAATAGTTTTCTGTAACCAGCAGAGATCATGTTTTTATTGAGAAGTGGGCTCAAATCACCTTCCCCTCACCTGACACAGGAAAAAATGCAGTCCCAGAAGCACTGTACCATGCAATGTTTCTGAATATGAAGATAGTAAAATTCAGACCACATGGCCTAAAATGTCAAAAACAGGAAAGGATCGCTTTTAAACTTCCAGATACCTTTTCTGTTTCCTGGAAGCCTTCTTCTAGTATTTGGATCAATTGTTTTTTCTTCAAGGATGCTTCTGGAGGAGATATATAAAAAAGATAGTCCAGCATCTTCTTGTAGTTTCTGGAGAAAAAAAAAGAAATAGCAGTACTAGTGTGTATAAGAATGGATTCCTTCCCATATAACAATTATCCAGCTGGACTAAATGAAGGTCCAGATAGCCCACTACCCCATTTCTGACAGTGGCCAGTCAAATCTTTTGAATGACGGCCTTTCCTTCTTATTTGTTCTTTGTATCTGGTACTGAAATGTATAGTAACCTGAGGATATTATTTTGTTTTTATGGCTAGCAGTTGGTGCTAAATGTACTACTACAACTTGTTGCAATGCATTCCATAAAATCACGGAAGAGCTAACACCGTATGTGCAAAGTTGTCTAACAGAGCACAGACACCACGTGTTATTAATTTAAAAAGAAAAGTGTTGGAAAGGGACAGTTCTGAACAAAAAAGCAGCAAGTGGGACGATTTCTCTAGTATTTGCTCTTATTTCTCCACTCAAACTTGCCCAAATGGCTCCCCCACCCCTCAGCCAGGCTTTGAAATAAAGCAAACATACAAAGAGAATCTTCAAAATGGAGGAGGAACCATTTGGAGGAATGTTCAGCTTGGAATCAGAAGGTGGGCGATGCAGCAAGTACCCCTTTTCCCACCACTGGCTCTGTTCAGTGCCATCTTTCCTGGAGGCTCATCTTCTTCTTCCTTAAGGCCCGCAAAAACACTTGCTGCAGCACCTCAGCATTCCCCCTTGGGAATCCACACCAGAAGTCCTTTGGGTTCCCCCACTACTGGAGGAGTGACACACTGCAGGCTGTCTTATACTGAGCTGGCTGAACAAGCAATCCTACCTAACCAGCCACGATGTGGGCCTCCAGCTGCCTCTCCTGCCTGTGATAAACAAGCTGCCCTGCCAAAGCTGCACCAGGTTCGGCCCACCTGACAGTCTGGGTTCAGACCACATTACCCATGGTGGGATGTCACGTTGTGTTAACCAGGTCAATTATCACACCAAAGTGCATTTAGAAAAGTGTAAAGATAAACATAATTTGCAAAAGTACAAAAATGAATGGGTACAAATGAACTCTACAGAATATACTACACAAAAGTAACAAATTATGCAGCAATGTCTCCTGCGTTTGGGGAAATTGCAAGGGTCAGCCCAGCTGGAGCGCAATGGATGCCCCTCACTCAGGGAAAGCCACTTTCATTGATCGTGGCATCTCTCCTGTCAGGTTACGGATAAGTGGATAGGTATATTCTGTGATAAGAAAAACAGGATTGGACACGCTACGCACATAGGCATTCCTTCCCTCCCTTCGTTCACTTCTCCTGTGCACATCTCTCTTCCTTTGCACGGTTTGCTTTAACCATACTGGAACATTCTGCTATGACGCAACATGTGTGTTAGCCAGATTTCAGTGCAAACAGGAGTTACAAACCCACTTGAAACCCTGGGTAATAAGACAATCTCGGTTTGCATTTTGCAAAATGCAGCGGATGGGACCTAGGCTTAGAATAGCCCTATCAAAATCAATGGAACTTAAAACAGTTTTTCAGTCTGACTGATTTTGATGGGTCTCCCCCTTTCTGGATCTAACCCACTGAGCCAATTTACATAAGAAGCTATTTTATCATTGTTCATATAGAATCACCATAGAGGTGCCTGGCAAGAACAGCCATGGAAGTGGCCACTTCTAGCCTCTGATCTCTACTACCCTCAGCTCCCGAGCAGCAGACATGTCATTGCTTTCTTTATTTCTATTGGCCAAGTGATGTGTTCATCTTGGTTACACAGAGGGAGGAACTATTTTTATTTATTTATTTAATAAAATACTCTGTGGGGGCTGGAGCATCTGAGAAATACTGCAGATGAGCAGATGTACTTAGGAGGAAGAATTGAGGACCTGCCCCAGGACTACGGCGGACTAATCAGGAGGAGACTGCCACAGTCCACAAGCAATAGGGAAAGGATGGGAATTTATCTTTTCTGTAAGCCGCCCCGAGGCTTTTTGCGATGGGGGCGGCATAAAAATGCTAATAAATAAATAAAATTTTGCTCACAGGGGCTGCTGAGAGCTTCGGCGAGGCCTGGAGGACAGAGCAGACAGCATGGAAACCAGTAAGCTGGGGCAAACATCTTAAATATCCACTCACTCACATCGACTCGTTTAAATCTTCTTTGTCCAAAAAGCTTTGGAGTTTTTCCTCAAATTTCAGCCTCAAAACCTTGTTGTGCACTCTAATGACATGGTTCACTTTCACTCCTGTGATGCCGTACGGTTTGAAGTCCCAAGCACAAAATCGGGATAGGATTAACTCATAGCAGGAATTGAACCTGTGGTCAGGAAAACAAAGGACTTAGAGCCAGTAAGATCCGCCGTTTCCCTCTACATCAGAGGTGTAGAAGCTCATGTCTTGGGAACAACCCCAGTCCCAAAGAAGCCTGCACTAAGGTCTTCTCCAAAATGCAGTCAGCCCTTGGGTTGAAAAGGGTTCTGCATCCTCACTCTAATTGTGTGTGTGTGTGGGGGGGGGAGAACTGGCAGCAGAAAAAACTAGACGTTTTTGCTCGCTTTGTTCCCTTCCAAATGAAAATTTGAGCCTCTTATTTTGAATATGACATGACATCATTCCTACGGCTCATACATATATACATAGTTCCAACCAAAGAACTGCCGTGTGCCCAGGTGCCTTGCACAATTCTGACCTGCAAAACGCAGGGCTGACTTTATCAAATGCGACAAACTCCTTTGCGTTTTGCAGTTCTAGGCTGGAAACAAGACAGAAGGTTGCCTGAGTCCTTCATGGGCCACTGGACATGGGCTGGAGCACGGGGTCAGACTAGATGCCCCAGGACGCCCCTTTTGACGTGCAATGTTTCCATGTTAACAGGCTGAGTCTGGCTTGGTGGATTGTGTATGCTTCTTGCACCAAGCAGTAAAAACTATATTGGGTTGCATAACGTACCTTGCCATAGAACTCACAGACTAAAATCATAAGAGACAGACATGGGGTAGTAGAAATATCAACACTGGGAAACACTGCTAAAGGAACTGGACAAAAAGAGCTCTACACCAATGTATTTTTTAAAATAAATAAATAAATAAATTTATCATATAGTCATAGCGCTGAAATGTAGTAATTACGTTTCTTATGAAGGGCTGTGGGCTAGAAATTCAGGTTTTTCTTATCCTAGCTAAAACAGGCAGGAAGATCAAGCGTTTTCATGGGTTAGACCACTTTCACTTTGCTTCTCCTTGAGAGAGGCTCAGTATAAAGGGATTTATAAATGGTACATGAGTCATCATGTAGAGCAGGGGTCTCAAACTCGCGGCCCGCGGGCCAATTGCCGGGATGGGTGGGGCACGGGGGAGGGGCCCTGCGGCCTTCAAAGCCCCGGTGGCGCCCTGGCCGGCGGCGGGATGAGCGGCCCCCCACCACCGCGGGGGTGGAATACTTGATGTGGCCCGGCCTCACCCAGACTCTACTTCCTGCGGCCCCCAGGTAAGTTGAGTTTGAGACCCCTGATGTAGAGCAATAATTCCAGTGAATTTCAACACACCCACAGCAAACAATGCTGAATCGGAGAAAGGGTTAGGGTTAGGAGAAGGAAGCATGGCCAACTGGGGAATACAGAGGGCTGGATTAGGCCTATGGGCCAGCCTGACTGGCTGGGTAAATGTGCCCCAAGACACAGCTGGAAAGACCCAGAACGAAGGGCAAGCTTGTGCATCCTGCAACTCTTTCCTCCCCAGTGAAGAAGACGTTCTGGTTTCCTCAAACGATGGTTTGCTATGATCCCCGAACTGCCGAACGCAGTCTTCAAACATCAGAAACATGCTACTCTGATTCAGACCATCAGTCCATCCAGTCAAGAAGCATCTACTCCTGACAGTCCCTCTCCAGAGTTTCAGGGAGGGTTCTTGGAGATACCAGAATTAAATCTGGAATTTTTTTTTTGCTAGAGAAGCTGCTTCTGGACTGCTCGACATAGTAGGATCTCCAAGCATCGAGTACAACATAAAAAAGCTGCATTGAAAACAATATAAAACCTTACAAACACTACAGCAAAAGTAGTAAAACAAAGCAGTGCCATGACTGATTACAAGGCAGGTAAAGCCTGGATGAATAAATTCATTTTCAAGAGGCACCTGAACATTGCCACACCTTGAGTCTCCACCTGTTTGAGCTGCAGTACCTCCAATCCTAGCTTGAATGACTACAAACCACAATGATAAACCATCATAAGTATGTATTAAATACTTAGGTAATACACCTAGTAAAATAAATGGGGATGGGGAGACACCATCATGCTACAGGCTAATATTTCTCAATGTCTCAGAACAGTTGGTACCAGACATCAGTCGGCGAGCCTTCTTCAAAGCGTATGTTTCCCACTGTTTCCAGCTCAGTAAGCAAAAACTGCACCATCAGATTGTTGTCTTTCTTCTTCTTCTTGATTTCTACTTGATAAATTGCTTCAATCCTGCAACAGGATATACCTCGGTTGGAAGGATAACGATAACAAAGCACAGATAACAGCTCTGATCGAAAGAGAAGCATGACAAGCTTTGTGGAGGCACTGGGGCTCAAGGCTTGCAAAGGAGACGGTGGTGGCTGGTTGCCTTCCACTGGGGGACCCCAATTGAGGCAACAGGCTTGGATTTTTGGCTTTGGCTGAAATAAACCAACAAAAATAACAGTACTGAATGCTAGCTATTTGCCAGTGCTCAGCACACTGCACCAGCAGGCTTGTTAGTGCAATAGGAAGCTGTTCTGTGCTACCAAAGTAGGTAGCCAAAACTACTGTTTTCAGAACGGGGCAAGTCAGTGGAGCTCCCATCTTGCCCAGTTCCCAAAGCAGTCATTTCAGCTGGCTTCCCAGAGCACTAATGGTTGTTCTCATTAGCACAGCAGCCCCTTTGGACACTGTCCTAAAGGCTCAGTCCTGTGCGCATTTGTCTATACTCTCTGAATAAGCACAGAATTGTGCCCTTGGACTGCATTCTTTATCTGATGTGACGACAGATAAAGAATGGAATAAAAATTCAGTCTCTGCTCAATTGCTCAGTAGAAAAGAACTTTGCACCTGCCTTCCAATGTCTGGCCCAAGAGTGCAAAGATGCTATAATAGATGACAAGAATAAGGCCGCTCTTTTTGACATTTTATTAAAAAATAATTAATCAATTTACTGTCATTTGAGTACAGGAATCCTACCACATTTCCCCCAAAATAAGACCAGGTCTTATATTAATTTTTGCTCCAAAAGATGCACTAGGGCTTATTTTCAGGCAATGTCTTATTTTTTCCATTTACAACAATCTATATTTATTCATGTGCAAAAATCTACATTTATTCAAATACAGTCATGCCATCTTCTTCTAGAATATTGTCATAACTCTCCAAACCCAAAATTGTGTGGCAACGGACGTACTAAATCTGTCCATCCGGCTGACGTTCTTAACTGGGGCTTATTTTTGGAGAAGGGCTTATATTACCAGCATCCTGAAAAATCATGCTAGGGCTTATTTTCTGGTTAGGTTTTATTTTTGGGGAAAGAGGGTAGGACGAGTACTCAGAAGTAGACGTCAGTGCAGTCAGTCTGCATCAGACTTATTCCCATGTAACTGCATATAGGATTGCCTCATCAATCAATTCATTATATCTATTTATATCCTGCCTTTGCTGTAAAGAATGGCACTCAAGGCAGCAAACCATAAAAATCTAAATTAAGACAAAAACCTGGAAAAAAGGAAAAAATGTAAAGAAAAAACATAAGCACAATCAAAGAAATAAGCAGTGCCAAGCAATTAAAAAAAACCCTTTCCACAGCAGACCAGCTTATAAAAAGACCAACAAAATAATAAATATATTATTACATTTATATTACGTCTTTGTTCCTCTGCAAGGATCCCAAAATGTCTTACATAGTCCTTCTTCACTCCATTTCATTACAACAACCCTGTGAGGTAGGTTAGGCTGAGTGTCCATGACAGGCCCAAAGTCACCAAGTGAGTTAGCCAAGTGCCAGGTCTCCCAAGTCCCAGTCCAATACCCTCATCCACCCCCAGTGTGGTGTGGTGGAATTTGGGAGATCCCAGTCCAACACTGCTGGATCTTGTTCTGCCCACAAAAGGACAACATAAAAGGTACGAGCTGCAAGCTATTAATTCACCAATTGAATGCACATACAGTCTCACTGAAAAAATGGAAGAAGGTATTTTCCCTGCTGCTCTTCAGTGATCCATGCTTGTTTCATGGCAGGACCATTTCAAAGGAGTGCCTTCCCTCCCATGTGAAAGCAGAGGAGGAATGCCTCTCATAAAAAGCTGCCTGCCATCAGGAAACCTGAAAGCACTGGCATTATTTTCCACACTGGAGGAACACAATTCAATGGCAAGACATTTTCCAAAGCAAAATTAAGGCAAAAAGTACCTTTTGACTGAAATGGTGGCACCACAAGCACACCACACCTTGCACAATACTGTCAGTGCCAGGATCTAGCTAAACCTGACCAATTCTTCCTAAAAAGATGCTGTGGTATTCAGTCCTCACAAACATCTTTTAAAAATGATCATAGATCTGGTGGCAACACAAGCAGAAGCCAAGGCTGCAGCCCATCTTGCACGCACAGGACATTCCAGATCTCTGCTCCACTCCTCACAAAAGCTTGAACATTTAATTCACTGCGGTCAAATCGTGACTGTGCCTTTTCAAAGAACGTACGTACTCATCTAGCTTCTTATTCCAGAATTTTATCCTCCTTCTGAGGCAGTCTAATTTATGCTGGTACCGCTGCTCAGTACTGGACTCCTCTGGGGTCTCATCTGCACTCTCAGCTTCTCCGTCTGATTTTTCACATTCGAAGCTTCGGCTCGAAACAGTTTTGTGAGGGTGTATTTTGCCGGAGGCCTTAAGTTCTGCCAGTTCACGTTCCAGCTTTTGAACAGAACGACAAAACATACTTGGACTCAGCCATTGCTTACAAAATAGAATATGTGCACGTTGTAAGGAAAGATGAAAGTACAACTAGAACTGAAAAACAAATCAAGGGATGAAAGCACTAACTTTTATTTCATTTCGTGTTGCTTTTATTGTAAAACCATCCCGAGATGCTTGCAGTGGACAATATATATAAAAGCTTTATATAAACAAACAAACAAACTTTACTTGCAGTTTGACCCTTTATTTGTGGTTTTGGCTGCTTCAAGCCCAGGGAAGATATCTTCAGAGCTGAGCTATGGGAAAACACAAACTCCCATCCCACAAGGGAACTGGATGACTTCTGTAGCAGAGGTGCCTGCCTGAGGTCGTGAAACACCCCCTCACCCCATCCCATCCCCTGCCTTGTTTCCCAATGCTCCTCCCCAGTGCTTTTTTTGTAAGAAAAAAGGTGCTGGAACTCATGAAATTATTTACCTTTTGCACATAGTCTGTCACTGTACACCCACCCACACATGTCAGTTGTGTAATGAAACAAAATGGTCGCCGCATACAGTAAGCACTCAGCGCGTGACCACACGACCAATCACAAGCCGAGCAGCGCCATCGCAACCAGCGCGAATGAAGTGCGCATGCATCGGACTCGACACACAAGCAGCCCGCATGCACCGTTTCAATGATTTTGCCGCCGACCTGCTACGCTCGACAGGGCGATTCAAATCCACGTGGACCAAACATCAAATTTTCAAAAGTTATTTTTAAAACTTGGAAAATCTGTCAAAAAAAGTGCTGGAACTCTGTTCTGGTGCGTTCTATGACAAAAAAGCACTGCTCCTCCCTATCCCAGCTCTCCAGAGCACCAGTATTATTATTATTCCACCAGAAGATCCTTTCACTCTATTAGAGAGGAGGTAATGTCCCAGCTGCAACCACCCAGACAGCTACAGCTATGGGTGGTGTACAAATGACATAAATAACTGCAGAAACAGGACGAGAAGAGCTGACAGCATGTAAACAGCCTCCAAGTCTTCTCCCGTACCTTTCTTGCTTAATTTACCCTAAATGTCTTTTAGAAGAAACGTGCAGCATCCCTCTCCAGGCTTATGTTTGGGACTCAGAATTAGGTCAGGAAAGCATGGGGAAATTTCAGGGCAAGTGTGTGATGCCTTTTTGTTAACCACCCAAAGCCGCCATTCTGAGCTGGACTATAAACAGAAGCCCTTTCTCATTCCTGGAATCATCAGATTTCAGTCATGTCTTCTTGTATCCGGTGACTTTGAAAAATCCTTCTTTTCTCGGACTGTAACCCTGTGCAGATGTTCAAACCATGTGTGGCAAGAAGATCAAGATCCTGCTTTTCTGCCACACGTGGAATGGTCCAGTATGCAAAGGGTACACGTATGGAAAACTTATGTGCACATAAGTTCAATATGTCTATGTCCAAATGGTGTGAATGTCCATTTTGATGCTGTTCCCGTTGCCAGAGTTCTCAGAACACACACTGCTGGCAGTAAGCTCAATGAGATATATTTCCAAACAAATGTTTTAGGGTGAGGGAGGGGACAGAGCCAGGAGAGTACTAGGAATCGTGAGATGGGGAAGTCCTTAAGCTAGCCAAACGGAAGAGCTGAAGACATTCAGGAGGCTGCCTTAGACTAAGCCAGTTTCTGGTCCCTCTCGCTCACTGCTAAAACCAGCCTAGCCCTCCAGATGTTTTGGACAACAGTTCCCATCAGTGCCAGCTGGCATGGCTCATGGGCAGAAACTATGAGAGCTATAGTCCAAAATACTGAAAGAGAACCAAGTTAAGGAAGGCTGGTTTGAACTTATGTGCAGCAACATTCCAGCATTTCAGACAGTATTTTTACCTAAAAGAAAAATTCTATGCTGTTTTTAAAAAAGTAGTTTATGATCTTAAAAATCCATGATAAATACAATCAGGCCAATCATTCAGACAATGATGAAAACAATAAAATCTCAATTAAAACAACTCCACAATAATGACAATAGTAGCAATCAGGGAAACGTCTGGGCAAAAAAGTGTCTCTTCTGTTCTCAGCAGAAATACCCCACTCTAGAAGCCTGCCTGGTTTCACTGGGAAAATCATTCCATATTGTGGTGCCACAACTGAGAAGGCCCCCCTCCACAGCAGAGCCAAACAAGTTTCAGTTGGGCACCATGCAGTCAGCAAGCCCTCCCTCTCAGAACATAAAGACCAGGGCCACTTGAACAGAAGAAGCAGGCCTCTCTGATAACATGGTCCTGAGAGAGTTAGGGCTTTAAAATCTGGCAATCGTAACTCCAGCATGATTTGGTATCTTATTAGTGGCCAGTGCAAAACTTTCAGCTTCTTCTCAGCCCCTAACTGAAGATGGGAAGAATTAAATCTGGGCTGGCTACATGGAAAGCATGTGCGGCACCACAGAGCTACAGTCGTTTAACAAGCAGGTGAGGAACTGAGAAAGTCTTTCCAGCACAGAAGCATGGAACTATAAGAGAGGAATGTTCAGAAGCACTTGTAGCACTCTGCTTCCACGGCAGAACTACTCTGAATTTACTTGGCTGAGAACTGAGCCCCTCTGCTTACATGCTTGATGCTACAACTGAAATGCTTAAGGCGATCCTCCGGCAACTTCTGCAGCTTGCACTTCCTTTCCTTCAGCTTTTCAAGCTCTTCGTTGAGGCGTCTGTAAGCACACTTGATACGCATGTTGTAGAACATCACTTTTTTCATCACTGTTGTCTTCAGAGGTTCAAAGGAAAGCCAGAGAATATAAATAAATCCAGTGATAACAATCATTCCATGATGCGATGAAATCGCATCAGCTCAAAATTACTGTATGCCTAAACTGCATTAGATGCTCTGCCTGTGGATTATTTATTATTTGTGCTTATATACCACCCTAGCAGCCCAGAGGGCTCTCTGGGAGGTTTACAAACATTAAAACCTACCAATCCTAAACAAATAAATAAATTGGCTATACCACGGATTATGGGTAGCCTCCCCTCCTTCTCTACCACCACAGGTTATACATTCAGTGTAACACTGTCATACGGAGATGCGCAGCCCTGGACCATGGGGTGCCCCAATCTGAGCGCAGAGCCTTCCAGAATTTTCTAGGGGGCAGAACTTAGCCTCAAGCCCTGCCCCTGGCAAGAATCCTCTCCAGCCATCAGTTTATCAGTTAGATTAAGGGGATACCTTTTCAGAAAAACAAAAGATGCTTCAAATGGGTATCAAAAATGGGATTGTTGAAATTATATTATTTTTAAATAAGAGTACTTTTTACATAAAAATTTTGCAGCTGATGCTATGTTACAAGAAGCATTCCCATTTTTCTCACATGCAATCCCCTTCTTCTCATATGTACCTTTTCTCATGTGCTACCTGGAATGACACAGGTTTCCATAATCTAGAAACACGACAAGCATCCTTTTTTCTTCAGAACGATAGTTTTGATTCACACGATTCAATTATTTATGTTCAAACAATAATGCTGGCCAAAACTTCTTTGATCAGGTCCTATTAATGTACATGTGATATAATAACCAGGTCCTGTTGACATCCTTCCAACTCTACATTTCTGTGTCTGCACTCACCTCAGCCAGCTCCTTGATCTGTTTAGGGGATACATCATAAGTATCAAGCCTCTGAAGCCGAGGAATATGATACAGCACATGTGTTGCATAATTGCAAAGAAGACAGACTGGGTTCGGTTCATATTGGGGGTCATTCAAACACAGGTCTGTTAAATGAGGTAGTCTTGCCAAATTGGTAATTTCCTTTTTTAAAAATAAGTAGAGGAAAAGAGTATCACATTTTGATCTCCAGAACTATTTCTTTCTGTTTTAAAAGTTGATTAACCACCTTATAATTGAAAAAAATCAGAAAATAGAACACCTGGACAAATAGAAACAATTCAATTTGGCTCTGAAAATAAAAGCAAGTCAGCCTCAATCCTATTTCCCAAGAAAGAATAAAAATGAAATAAATGAATGAGAGCATTGTAAAATAAAACCAGTGGCATAGACATTAGAGTGTTGAGCTGGGACTCACAAGATCTGGCTTCTAGTCCCCAGTCAGTGACAAGGCTCACTGGTTCACTTTGGGCCAATCATCAACTGCCAGCCTCACATACCTCACAGGGTTTTTGGGAGGATAAAATGGAGAGGAGGGTTACATAAGCAGCCTTGGGTTTCTTGCAGAAAAAAGGCAATAAATAAATACAGGCACCATCACAAAGAAGGTCCTTTCTTGTATCCTCTCTGTCACCATTCAGAGAAAATGTGAAGAAAGGAAGACAGAAAAAAGCCCTTTGGAATTAAATGCTCTCCATCAAGCGTATTTTTAGCAATCTGGTGAAGAGACCTGAGTTCAGCAACAGGCCACCTGCTTTGCATGCGGAAGGCCCCAAGTTCTATCCCTGGCAACGCGAAAGTAAAAAGAATTCTGGTTGAAAGTGATTGGGAAGATGGCCTGCCTGGCAACAAGGTGTGCTGACGTCAGCCCAAATGAACCATACCGTGCTGGGCAGGCAAAGAGTCCAATGTGTAGCCACCTCCCGTGTTGCATCACACTGAAAAGTTCCACTCTGTTTCCAACAAGAATCTGCAATCAGCTACAATGCAGGCCAGTTAGATACACATTTAAATGTGTATACTTCAGATGGTGCAGAACAGAGCAGCCAGGTTGCTGACGGGGACTGGGCGTTGTTCTCATATAACCCCAGTCCTCTACCAGCTTCACTGGCTCCCCATCAAAGTCCGAGCCCAATTCAAGGTGCTGGTTATCACCTATAAAGCCCTCAACGGCTTGGGACCTAGATATCTAAAGGAGCGCCTGCGCCCATATTTGCCCTCCTGCCCCTTGAGATCAGCGGCAGAGGCCCTCCTCCGGGAACCCTCCGTGAAAGATATTAGGAGGGTGAGTACCCGGAGGACGGCTTTCTCTGCAGTGGCACCCCATCTGTGGAATGCACTCCCCAGAGAAGTCTGCCTGGTGCCGTCATTATTTGTTTTTCGGCGTCAGGCCAAGACCTTTTTATTTAAACGATATTTTATTTATTGGTTTTAAAATATTGAGCCAGGATGTTTCCAGATTTTATATGTATGCATTTGTATGTGTATTTACTTATGATGTTGGAAGCTGTCCCGAGGCTTATGAGAATGGGACCGCATACAAAAATTCCAAATAAATAAATAAATGTGCACTCCAAGGCCATGGTGGACCTATTAACAAGATTGCTATTAGTTCCATGGCAGGTATCAGGACCTGAGCCTGCAGTAAGTCTTAGCCGATAAACCAAGGGAGAGATTTAGCTTGTGGCGCCTCAGCCAGACCTGCTCCAGGGTGCTAATGGCAAGAGAACCGGCCACAACAACCAGGACCATGGGAACCCAGGTATTACCTTAAAGGAGGATACTCTGTTACCAGACAGATTTAATTTTTCTATTTTGCTGGTGGGATCCAGACTATTTCCTAAAACAAAAGAAGAGGAAAATAAGGTACAATGTACATCCTGAGGCACAACATTCATCCGTCTTTGCTTTATTCTAAGGGCTCACAAAGGCTTGTGCCCTGGTGTGCATATGCCCAAAATACACAAGATTTATTATGGAGAATAACCAGCTGCCAACGAATCATTCCAGATGGCGCACCTGAGCAGTCCTCAGTTGGCCCTTTTGCACACTGAGTTACAGGTAATCCTAGTCTTGGTGATGAATTGCCACCACGCTAGAGACTGAGTCATGGAATTCATGCTCCCTTTCCCATTTTTCTTCTTTCTTGAACAGCATCTCTTGTTTGCCAGTTATCTAACCTTTCAGAGCATTTTTAGAGTATAATGCAGCCTTTTGAAAATGGTATGTACTAAAGTAAGTCAGAGCCCTTTCATCGCAACTTAACAGAGAAAGCCAGCAAGAGGCCTTCAGAAAACGTTCCAGCTCAGGTTTTGGGGACTCTCTAATCTCTTCTTAGTTTTGCCTCAGTGGACCAAAAGCGCAATAGTGTCCCATTCCAAATCTCATATGACACCACTGAAAATGGCCAAAGTTCCTCCACATGTTGTCTTCACTATACTTTTCACAATTTTTTTTTTAAAAATGCAGAACTACCACCTACCAATTTTACTAATGCAATTCCCAGCAAGATTGAGCTCCTTCAACTTCTGCAGTGTGTTCAGCCCCTGTAAACATTATAAAATTCTGATTTTTTTGGAAAATGTTGCTAAATCAAATTGCACATTGGATGAGCCAGAATAATAGTTCAATTCTATTCTTGTTTAGAAGCAAGACAAACTGTTTTCTGCGAGGCTTCCTGTCTAGTAAATGTGTACAGGATTGCCCTGTAAGCTTGTTTTGTGGCACCTTGAAGGGTATGAGGTTGTACCCTGAAAGCCTTTATCAAATACGTTCTATCATTTCTCTAGCTCACCTGGTGTTTGAATCAATCTAACCAGGAGTTTCAAAGTATAAATTGTTTATAATTTATTTATTTAAAATATATTTATCCTGCTCTTCAGCCAAAAGGCTCTCAGAATAGCATACAAAGTTAAACAAGACTGTCCTCTACCCACAGATATAAAATAAAAAGACAACATACAAGGAAAAAGGGATGGATAGGGAAAAGGAAAAGCATAAATAATCTTCCATTGGGGCTGCTGTGATAGCACTACTTCTCTAATTTCTCTCTCTCAAACCTATTTTGTCTGATTCAACATGGCTTTCTTCAAAAGACTCTTGGGTGCTGAGAATTCGTGGCTAAAGCCATCGCCTCTGCCTGCTCTCACCACTGAACTATGCTTCTCAGGGATGCCTGAGTTGTGGGATGGATGTTTTTCCATCCAAACATTTACTTGCTGTAATTTCCCATGCTCACCTGTGCAACAAGGGCAATGACGAGATTGGTTGGACCAGAGCTGCACAAGCATGAAATATACCTATTGGAAGGTACCAGAGCCTTATGGAAATGGGCTGCTGCACCTCTACCCAGCAGCATTATGAAAGATTTGGTTGGTAACTTCCCCCTTCCTCCCTCAGGCAGAAGAGACAACGCCGTCTCCATAAAACTCCCCTTACCTCTATTTCTTTAATCTGGTTCCCATTAAGCCAAACAACCTCCAGTTTTGTTAACTTCTCCAGATTTTCAATAGCTAAAATCATATTGCAATAGAGGTAAAGCTTTTGCAGAGCTACACATTTCTGCAAACCATCAATTTTCTGCAAAGAAAGGAATAGGCATCATTTTAAAGCAACCCAGAAGGAAAATGCGCTCCTGCGTAGATAAAAGAGGAGACTGAATGGCTCACAAAAGGCTGGTTAAGAAACAACTGGCACAATTCATAGGAAATGTCTTAAAAGCATGCTTGCATCTGCATGGCACTTTATAACTATTATTTCATTTTCTTCACACGGTGCTGTTTGGCAGTGTTGCTAGCGTTCCTATTTATGCTAGCATCAAAGATCAGCTGTTATTGGAATTGAAATCTTCAACACTCAGGTGCAAAACGCTACATCAGTATTACTTTACCAAACAGAGGCAGCGAAGGGCACAGTTCTGTGCATGTTTAGCCTGATAGGGAAATGCTGGAGTTATGGGACTGTTGTTCTGACTAAACATGCACAGGCCTCTGTCTCAAGAGTCTCAAGGCTAACAGAATTACTACAGCATAAATTTTCATGGACTAGAGTCCATTTCACCCAATCCATGAAAAGCTGCCCTCAGCTGACAGAGGTTTACATGGGCAGTGGAGAGGGGTTACCTGGGATGGGCCCCCAATCTTTGAAACAACCTCCCTGCACCAAAGCTTTCAGCGCCAGGTCAAGACAGCCTTTTATAAGGAAGCCTTTAAAGATCTACTTGGTCACCAGAAGGGATTATCCAGGGGATTCTTTTTCTTTGCAGGGTCTTTTTTACTGTATGTTTTTAGCTATTTTAAATTAATAGCTAAATTAATTCAAGTAGACATTAAAGTGTTTTTTAATGTCTACGCTGTGTTTTATTGTTTTGTTTTATGCACTGTAGCAAACTGCCCAGAGTTCTTCAGTTCTGGGGCTGTATAGAAATTAGTAATAATACTGTAGTATTAATTATTATTACTACTACTGTCATCAGCATGCCACTGTTTTCCCATTGTGCAGCTACACTAGAGGGATAACATGCTGGCCTACCTTACAAGGCTGGTGTAGGGATTTCTCAGAAAGTGACATGAATCCCTTTGATCACCACACAATTATTATTTATTTGAAGTATATTTTTGCCACTGCTCAGGCGTAAAGGCTCCCAGAGCAGCTTACATATAACCAATTTTTTAAAAAATTGCCCCTGCGTGAGGAGGGAAGAATAATTCTTTTAGCAGGATTGGTAAAATGGTTCTGTGCTCTCTCTCTCCCCATCTTATTAGTATTACATTTATTTATAAAGTCTGCACTTTAGGTGCAGTAGATAGATGCTAAATGTAATTGTTAGGAAGCCATTGTTTGAACAGGAAAGACTCTTAAGCAACTAGCTTTCGGGGAAATTTCCCCAGACCTTTTGTCCAAAGAACAAGGGCTTCCTGATGGTTCACTTCTTTACTTGAAATGAGGTGTAATTCAAAGAACCACCCTGTTTCTGCTAGGCCAGGCTGCTGCTTTGCAAGGACAAGATGTGGTGGAAGAGCAGGATTTGCAACCCAGATGTTTAGGGCCACAGAACGGCAGTTTTCTGGCCTGTTTTCCTTTGCAGGGCCTCATCCCACAGCTGCTTTCCCCCAAACAGGACTCTGAAAGAAAGGGGAAAGCAGCTTCCAGTGTGCAGTGACATTACAAGGGACAGGATGAGAGCCATCCTTCTGGCCAAGACCATTCTTTCCTTTGCTGAGTTATACACCCCAGGCTCAACTTACAGCAGCCAGCCAGGCGTTAAAGCAGGGTTGTCAAAACTGTCAGCCTGATGAACTAATTTAATGAAGGAGCAGCTCTCAGGAGCTGCGTTCTAGGATGGGATTAACTAACAGCAGAAGGCAAAAGGAAGGAGGGCCAAAGTATCTACGAATGCAGCACGTTCCATCTTAGAACTCTTACTGGTGGAAACTACGGCTATTTCAACTTTAGAATGGGCTGGAAATTCCACAAAAGCCAGGAAAGCACCAAATACAGTGGTACCTCGGCTCATGAACTTAATCCATTCCAGGACTCTGGTCGTGACCCAAACTGGTTGTGAGCCAAGTCAAATTTCCCCATAAGGTTCATTGTAAATAAGGTTAATCCATTCTGTAACTATTTTTTTAATCACAAAAATTTGAAGCGGGTATGCAATCTGGGGGGGGAGGCGCAATCATGGGCATGCTGGGGGGCAGGCGGGTGTGCTGGGGGAGGAGACGAGTGCAATCATGGACACGCTTGGGGGGGAGACGGGTGGGTAGGCATGATCGTGGGCATGATCCGGGGGAGGCAAGTGCACTGGGGGGAGGCAGGCGTGATCATGGGTGCACTCAGGAGGGAGGCAGGTGTGATCGCGGGCGCGCTCGGTGGGGAGGAGGCAGGTGCGATCACAATCATCACCTGATGTGGAGTTTGCAACCTGAGGCAAAATTTTTGAGAAATGTCTGTTTGCAACCTGATTTGGTCATGGACTGAGGCGTTCATGAGTCAAGGTGCCACTGTATTCAGTGGCTGGGGGAAAGGGTGTGGGTGAGAGAAGGATGCATAGCCATTTGGGGAAGCCCAGGGGGCCAGAATAGGACCAGAGACAGGCGGAATTTGTTCCATCGGCCTGAGGTTCGACACCGCTGCTTTAAAAGCTCACAGCCAAGGAAGGAGACGTTACTCCACCCTGGGCATTTGCTGCAAACGAAAGGACCAAACTGCAGAAAGTTTACTTACGGTCAAGCAGCACTCAGCCACCCACAACTCTTTCAGGAGAAGACAGTTCTCCAGGTCAGAAAGCTGTTGGATGTTCTGCCTGACAAGGGTCAGCCTTGTTAGATTAGGGAAATAGGACAGGCCTACTATTCTGGGGTAGCCGGAGAAAAACATCTCCAGGCTTCTTGCCGAGGATCCTTCTTGCTCAATTCTGTCATAGGACAGGCCATTACAGGTGCACTGGAAGGAAACAAAACACAGCCCTTTTCTAGATGTTCAAAAACAAAGCAGGCCCTTCTTCTGTCAAAACATACACAAGATTGCACATGAATGGGCTCAGAATGACTGCTAATGTCTTGTGTGCGGCAAAACTGTTAGGAGAGCTTCGTGTTAGGGAAATTCCAGGTCAGGAAGGTTAAGCGATAGTGTGGAAAAAATATCTTGTCCCTACTAGCCCTCATAGTGGAGGATCACAACCCAGAGCCTGAGAGAACCCATACGAGCCATGTCCACTTCTCCTGCAGTGCAGCTGATCAGCCCAGGGGAAAAGAGCGCTGTGACTCTGACCAGCCATCCCAAACAAAGATGAAGGGAGGCAGGAGGCAAAAGTCTCCCTTTGCTTGAGCAACCCGGAGGCAGTCAGGATGGCTGTGGCCACACCATTAGTGGCTGCTGGGAAGTAGCAATCCCGATGGAGCGGCTAAAACAGGGAAGGAGTTTTAGCTTCTCCTTCCTGAAATCAGGGACAAGTGGTGTGTGTGTGAGCATAGCTGTGCATGTCTGTGTACAGGTACAGTCCTAACATATTACCTGGCATGAATATAACTGTCAGGGCCAGAAAGGTTATTCACCCTCCCCTACAACTAGAGGGTGAGGGGGGACACAACTATTGGCAGAGAAAGGGGAAAAACCACAAGCTGCAATTCCCGAGTACACCAGGGTGTGTTGCAAGCTTAGAAAGACCTCTGGGGAAGTGGCCTCTCTGTGCAAGTCATGGCTTTGGCTGCAAGCTGGAGCAATGAAGGTGTTCCTGGCCTATTCTTAGATTGCATGAACTCAAATATTACAAAGCAGCAAGGCCTCCAAAGAAAACTGAGTTAAGTATGATACTGCAGCCTGCACTGCCACCTGCTGGACTCTCCATATTACAGGGAAACAGCCAAAGTTGCTGCAAATAAACCTCCTTATTTCCAAGGTAGTCTCTTCCATTGGAATAGCTGGAGCGTATCAAAGAGGGTTTTCAAGGTGCAGCAAAACTCACCAACTCTTTAATTATTTCATCAGAAGGGACTTGGTTTTGAGTATCACTTTGGATCATTTTCTGAGCATTTCAGCTTAATGGATATAGTATAGAGCCTAGAGAGGAGAATAATGATTAGTTAGGAAATCAGGTACATTATTTGAAAGCCATCAGCCTTGGAATAAACTGGGAAGACAAATCTAAACAGCGTGGCTTTTGTGGACTTGATACTTCCACATGAAACAGAATGAAGAAATGAGGGAGGAAATATATACTATGCCTATGAGAGAACTGGCATAAGAAATTTATGCTTAGGAGGATCGAGCACAAAAACCTCCTCCCACCCATGGACTGATCTCCCCATTAACTGGATTTCCCTTCTTGCTTAGGTCTTTAAAGAGCAAAACAAGTCATTAAATCAAACCAAGAAATTTATAAGTAGCCAGCCCAGATAAAGGAAAATCAGAGTCATATGATCTAATCAACCAACTTTCCCTGTCCTTCACTCCAATTACCGGGCAGTAGCATTTTACAGTAGCTGACATTCCCTTTACGAACACATTTCAACTGAAGCCCATGTTAAAACACATTATGGTAGTCTAGCCTGTAAGGCACCAACAGTGCAACCCTATGAATGTCTAACCCAGCAGTATGTTCCAGCATGGTTTACTTCTAGGCTTACTCATAAGTACGTGTAGGATTGCCACTTGAAGCATGAATGCCGCTGATGAAGTTTTAAAGGTTGTAAAAGAGCTCACAATGAGGAGAAAAAGGTGACAAGTCGAAACTATCCCAGGCTGGTGAGAATGTAGGACCAATTCTTCTTCAAAGCAGGGCTCAGCTTCTGGAATCCCTGCCTCATGAAGCACACTTGGCCCTTTTCTCATTGCCTTTTGATGATCATTAAAGACTACTTTTTTACATACTGCTTTTTTGATGCTGTTGTTATATCCCCTGATCCAATCGTCTTGCTGACATATATTGGAGATTCTGAGATACAGTTTGGATTCTATTTTACTATGATTTTATTCTATTTTAATAATTTGTTTATTGCTTTGGGGAATCTTTGGCCCCAAAACCAGCAGGCAGTCAAACAAACAAAAAACATGATCATTTTTAAAGAAAATCCTACAAAATCCCTAAGAACAGTGGCAAAGATTGTGAGTTCTCCAATGGGAATCTTTGGGATATCACTGTATCTTACTGTCTGACAGAAAAATTAAAGAGATAATGTAGGGCAGAGTCTTTGAACACATAAATAATACAAAGTGTTTTTAGCTTCGAAAGAAGGCAAGCAACAGGGGACATAAAAGAGGTCTGCTTTTATGCATGATGTGAAAAAAGTGGAAAGGGAGATGGTGTTCTCTCTCTCTCTCTCTCTCTCTCACACACACACACACACACACACACACACAACTAGAATCTAAAGGTGTAGTCCACAAAGCAAACCAGTGATTCAGCACAGGAAAAAAAGTACTTCTTCACTTATTTAATTCATCTGTATACTGCCCAATAGCTGAGGCTCTCTGAATGGTTAACAAAAGTTAAAATTACACAAAAGAAAAAGTCACACATGCAACAATAAAACTGAAAGAAAAAACCCATAATTGCAATTGCTATTATTCAGCACAGAAGCAGTGTTGAAATAAAATGGGATATATACGAACAAATTAAAAAAGTTAGATGCTGGGCAAATAAAAAGGTCTCCAGCTGGCACCAAAAAGAATACAAAGTAGGCGCCAGAAATCCCTCACTGCAGAACGCATTCCATATAGTTCACAGTTAAACTCTAGAATATACCTTCATGAGACAGCTTCAGAAGAGGAATAGGCAAATTCATGGATGCAAAGGCTATCACTGGCTACTAGTCTTGATGGCTGTGTGATACCTCTAATATCAGGGTGTGCCTATGGTGCACTGGCTGCTGGGGAACATCGTTGTTAGTGAAGACTCCCAACATGTATTTTCTGTATTTATATGCGGGATTTTAATGATTGTAAGCCGCCCTGAGGCTTATGCGAAGGGGGCGGCATATAAGCTGCCTAAATAAATAAATAAATAAATAAATGTCTCTCTGCCCCTCAGACGCTGCTTTCCTCTCCCTCCACCCACCTGATACTCACTCCAGAGATGATGGTCACTAATTTAGACAGCTTTAGAGAGTGAACTGTTGGAAAATGTGGCCAGGTGTTTGCTATCGCATTTGTCCTGCTTGTGGGTTTCCTAGAAGCAGTTGGTAGGCTCGAGTAAACAGACTGATGCACTAGATAAGCCTTTGGTTTGCCCGAGTGTAGTTCTTATTTTCCTACAATAAAAATAATAATTGTATTATGAGAACTAAAGGAAACCTGGCAGGAACATTATAATTACTATCATTCTAAAAGAACTCCCTTTAAAGCAGTTGAAAGGAAAGACGTATTCCACAATAGGCTGAAATTACAACCTCATAATCACTAGCATAATTCAGAATCTTCATAGATTCCATGCTCCTTTGCCACTTGCCAGCCACCTCAAACAAGAACAGCATATTTTATATTTTACAGTCATTAAAAGTCCTTTAGGGCACCAGCCTATGCAGGTTTAGACAGGAAATATATTTTTTTAAAAACCTAAACATACATAGGATTGCATCCTTTAAGGGTAAATGATCCGGATTAAGAGGGCCTGACTGTACACCATATACACACACGAGTGAGCATGCTGAAAGGGCAGCCTACAGATCGCCCCTCTTTCTCCAACTCAAGCACCTGATTCCATATAGGGTGGAACTAATAGGGTGCTAAAGTGGGGTAACTAATCCGGGTTAAGTGGGGTAACTAACCCGACTTATGTACCCCTGAACGAGCGAGCAAGCACCCCTTTCAAGACAGGGAGGAATGCGCATGGGCAACAGTTCCCCCACGAAGAGGGGGCCAAGGAGCAGAAAAGGGGTGCTATTTTTAGGAGAGAAAAGGCGAGGTAGTCGTTCCCCCACCCCCACCCCCCAAACGGGAAGTGTAAGGCGAGGAAGGCGATGGATGCTTCCGAGAGGAAGAAGAGGCAAGACGCGGTTGCCAAGCAACCGCAGGTAACCCATCCTTCCGGACAGCCACTCACCTGTCCGGCGCCTCAGGAATTGCACAAGCGAGGCCCAGATTGTGTATAAGCCCCGGCCTCTCTCGTCGCCTAGGAAACCTGCTCTCCCCGCCCTCTGCCCAGCAGCAGCCAATCAGCGTAGCGGAGGAGAAAGCGGCATGACGCGCGGGACCAAATAAATAGAGCGCGGGCGCTGGGCAGGGCGTTTGCTCAACCTGAACTCGCTGCTTTGATGACGTAATCGCGCGTCACAGCAACTTGGTGGTACAGCATAGTAGTTTGGCTGTCTGTTGGGGCTCTTCAGCTTTCTCCAAGTGGGCGCCCTCCAGTTAATTTGGCCTACACCTCCTATAATCCCCCAAATATGTGTGCTGAGGGATTGTGGGAAACGCAGTCCAACGCATCTGGAGAGTACTGGGGAAGTTGAACTTGAACTCCATAGAACTGAACACCAGGCAAGACTACACAGGATTGCAACTTGAACATTTTGTATGGAAGGAAAATCTTTTTATTCATTTAAGGTTGAATACCTACTTTTACGGATGGAAGCCTCTCAAGGTGAGCAGGAAAATGTCGGGTGCCACATAGTTCTAAGCACTCTTGCCTGGGATTAAGCCTCATTTTACTCAGTGGGACTTACTCTGGGTAAGCATTTGTACTTTGGACCATGAGGCTGAACACCTGCTTATCCTTTGTACCAGAGAACAGATTCCATTAAATTTAATCATCTTTTATTCCAAGTAATGATGCATAGGGGTCAGTCAGACCTTATATAAAAAGGGAAGATTGGAGTGGAGCCTGGTCTATTCTACATCCACATGTTGTTCTGCCTGCCATATTGAAACAGATACTCTTTAAA